TTAATACAGGGAAGAGTGAGTTAACTGAAGGTTTTACATTGCCTTTTATGGAAAGTGCCCTTTTTTTCTTTAGAAGTCTTCATAATCAGGGTGTATTTAAACGAGTTAATGCCTTTATATGAGTTAATAAAATAACCTGTGGTGTATAACAGTGTTCATTATCATACAATCAAAGATATTTTGTGACTACCATTAATATCATTTTCAAAATTTAAATCATTTATTTACCTGTTTATTCAAAGTGGATTTAAAAAATTATCATGAAAATCATATTGAATGATTTCATCTTAGCTTACTTTAAATAGTCATAAGCTTCGCCATTGTTTTATTTATAGTTGACTATGCAGATTTTATTTTTAATATGATAAAACTTTTTTTAAAAACCTGTTTGGTGACATTTTAAAAATTGTTTTCCATACATTAACTCAGCTTCTGTGTAATTTATATAGAAAGCTATTTTATTGTTGTGGTTTTAAAAAATTTTCTGTTATAATTTTTATATTTTCACAGGTTTATATCCATTATAATGAGAATCTCTTCTATCAAAACTCTCATGATTTTTAAAAAAAAAATTGTTAGTTTTGCAGCTTTTCTTTACCTACAGCTATTAAAAGACTTCCTTATTGTGAGAGGATGCATGTTTACCTATGTAATTTGAAAGGAAATAAATCCTATTGCTAAAAAGTATCTTAAGCTTCATATTTTTCTTAAAGTGAATTCCTATAGTTCTTTTGCTATAAGACTAGTTACTATTTGCAGGCTGCTATTATAGAATTTTCTTTGCAGAATGATAGGTCTTTGGTTGACAGGTGTATAAAATTTATTCAGATTAGACCACATCATATGTAATATCTGGATTAGACCACATCATATGTAATATCTGGAGGCTTATTAAACCTTCACATGAAAGCTAAATTTGGACAGCATCCATAAAAGCTTTTCAAATTTTAAATACATATGCCTATTTTCTTAAATATTTGAACTTTCAGTGTGTTTTATTTTTTTCTTGCTACTGTTTGAGTCACATCACATACCTTTCATACAAAGAATAAGCTATAGATCCCATGTATAATTACATAATATATGAAACTAATACTCTCATTTCTTCATTCAGCTTGTGAAAAATGCACCTTTTAATTTCCCATCTTTACCTTATTTTAAAATTATTTATTTTGGGCTATTTTAGTTTATTTAAAAGTTTGCAAATTAAAGAGCAAAATTTAATTTAAGTTTTGGTACTGGGGATTGAACTCAGAGGTACTCAAACATTGAGCCACATCCCCAACCCTATTTTGTAATTTTTATTTAGAGACAGAATCTCACTGAGTTGCTCAGCATCTCACTTTTACTGCGGCTGGCTTTGAACTTGCTATGTTCCTGCCTTAGCTTCCTGAGCACTAGGATTACTGGTGTGCACCACCGTACCTGGCCAATTTTATGGACTTAATATTCAATTATGATGACTCTATTTCAACCTGTGAAAGAATGATGCAGAAAATAGATAATGTTGGCATGACTAACCTGTTAAAAAGTTGTTGTGTAGCTCACCAGTGCCTGAAGGGACCAATTAAAATGAATGAAGCTAAGCTTACAACTTTGATGTCTAGTGCTTTAAACATGGTAATTATTTAATATAAAGAATGCATATTTACAAATATGTAACATATTCTTACAGGCTGCTGCAGAAGATGTAGTTAGCAATTTAAACTAGTACATATATATATATATAATTTTATATATTTGTATATAATATATATTTAATTTAATCACTTTTTAGTTAAAAGCATTAAGAAAAATCATAAAAAATGTAAAACACGAATCCCCCTTTTCAGACTCCAAAACTACAAAACACTTATTATAGTAAGCTAAAGTTTAGTGTACTTTTCTGTGTGGTTTATTAGAGTCCTTTTAGATAAAAGTTGCAATGTTGTATTGATGCAGGATAAAATGCTTTGTGATCTAGTTTCAAGGGAGTTGGTAGTAAGAGGACCTAAATTCTGATCCTTCTCTTTCATTTGTTGTTTTGGTTGACACCATGTTCCCTTCTTTGGGTATACATTTCTTAAGGATTATTTTGGTGATCTTTTAGGGAAAAATTGTAGCCTATGGATAATAGGTGATAATTATACAATGTTAAAATTTTTATAGAAACAAAACAATTTTTGTCATTTATTTACACTTCTAGATCATTTTTTAAAAAAAATTTAGTTGTACATAAACACAATACCTTTATTTCTTTTATGTGGTTCTGAGGATTGAACCCAGTGCCTCACATATGCAAGGCAAGCAAGCAAGCGCTCTTCCACTGAGCCATAACCCCAGCCCTAGATCTTAATATGTTGTTTCAAAAGCCTTTTTTATTTTCTGAATGATATGTGTATTTTGATATGGTATTTCACCAATAATGTTAACGTGCCTTTATGTATTTTTCTCTTGAATATTTCATAGGAAGATTGCCATATCCAGCTTTTGACTTTGTTTTATAAGCATTAGATGCAGCCTGAAACTTGTGCAGCAACTAAAATCCCTTTTGCAGGGCAAAGCTTTTCTCACCACATCTCCTTTAGCTACTTCATAGTGGACAGTAAAAATAAATGGATGTAATAAGCACAATGTTTTACAATAGTGGTTTGGTAGGATTTTAAAGGCCAGCAAACTATATGGTTTGAAATGAGTTATTTCAGCTAAATTTCAAGATGTATATAACAGGCACAGTTGATGAAATTGTTATCAAAGGAAATTTCCTTTGCTTTTTCATTTAGACAAATCTAGCATTCTTAATTTATTGCTTTAAAGGTGGAAATAAAATTTATTCTTTTAGATGTTGGAATACTAATAACTGAATTTCTTGGTTATTCATATGGAGAGTAATGTTTGGTTACTGATATGTTCAATCTGAAACAATCAAGTAGAACACACATCGGTCTTTCTACTGTGAATTATTATAGTCGGGCCCTAAAATGTTGCTTTAGTTCAGAAAACATTTTGATATCATATATAAGAATTATGACATTAGTCTGTAATAGATTACTTAGCATTTAGTATCATTGCTTTACTTATTTATTGATTCACAGAAAGGTATTAAACATATACCATTTTCCAAATCGTGCATGGTGCACTTAAATATATAAAGATGATTCAGACATAGTACCTTCTCTCAGCCACCAGGTGAGTGGTGAAGAATAAATAACCTAGATCTTTATAGTTTAATGTGGTTAATGTTGTGTTTTGTGTACCCACAGACCAGAGGGTAAATGTCCATCTTGGTAGAAAGCATAGGTTTGTGATAGAGATAATTTGTGAGCTGAGTCATAGAGGTTAGGAGTGAGGTCAGTTTCTTTCTGGGGCTGGAATGAAAGGACAGGGAATAGAGCTGATAAAAGTCTACAAAGCAGCATGTCTTGCATGAGAACTCCCACAGAATCTTCAAGGGAAGCTGGTTGCTGAGCACATCAGGAACTTATGCAGAAATTGGTTCTCCACTCTTTTTGGAAATCTTTTTGATATCTGCATTTATCCAAGCAATTTAATACTGATCGCACCAGTGGAGTACTTGGAAAAATACTTTTTCTGAACACAGGAAAAGGTCTTAAAGGCAATTCTATTACTGATTGATTTAATGAATAAATACTGAGTGCTTACTATGGGCTGAACATCTTGCCAGGCATTTTTCTTTAACACTTTTCCAACTTATGTGCTTAAAGATGCTGTTTAAGTTCACACGTAAAAGTAAAGGAATAGAAATTGCTATGACGTTTGATGTGGTGGAGAAATCACAGTGATGATTCCATGAACTTATGATACTAACACGAGGCACAAAAATCATTGTGGTTCATTAATGTCAAATGCTTTGAGATAAGAACCAGAACCTAAGCCTTGGACTTGTCAGCCTAGACTCTTCTGTTAGCCACAGAAGAATATGTAATCATACATATCTCTATCTGATCACTGTATCCTAATCCTTAATCATTGTATCCTACGAAGGAACAGTTCTGAGAAACTCAATGCATTTAGACTGCCTTGACATTCATGTGCTGCTTGCCAAATCTGCATTATTTTTAATGGCAGATAATTTTAACTAAAACTTCCTAGGATTTCCTCTCCAATTGAGTACATATGAAGAGAAGTGGCATTTGAAAGGTACAGTTCGCTGCAATGTGATTGCTGGGATTACTGTAAAGTGATACTAATTATATTTCCTGATATCCTCGAACTGTTTCTTTTCACAGAAAAATTGATGGTAAGCCAGAGAGGCCTGCAGTAACATATGCAACATATCGAGGCCCCAGACAAATTATGAAATACCTAAAGCAACAGCCCATGTTGGAAACTGTGAATACCTCAGACAGAGAAAATGACGGTTCTGATTCTAGTACAAACACACACTCTAGCCCTGGAAGTGAAATGGAGACTGAGAAAGCAGCGTTGTCATCAGCTAGTACAGATGTCCACTTGAAACGATGTCTGCTTGGGGCCCCATTAGACGACTCTGACTGTAGCAAAATTAATCTCAACATAGAAAGCCATCTGACTAACAGTCCGGGACTTCAGAACACCACTCCTTCTAAGGATGTTTTAAATAAAAATGATCCTGGAGGACCTGAGAGAAGTTGGTTATTCTCTTCTTCTGAGACTAACACCAGCTCTACTGTTAGAGAATCTGACTCACGGAACCATTTAGGCTGTGTGCCACTTTCTCAAACTGACAGAAACTTGGTATGTTCAGCATTGTTTACAGGAAGTAAGAGTAGCAAAGTACCTTGCAGTCCAGAATTTCAGAGGAAAACTCCAACAGAAAATACAAGGAGAGAAAACAGCTCTGTGATGAATGATGGGACACTGGAGCAAAGAAAAGAGCATGTGGAACTTCAGGGACCTGCTGTTTCTGATTTCTCTTGTAGTAAATCTAATGGGAGTGACACTACCAAACTGGAAAGTACAAATTTGCCAAGTCCCAATAAATCAGTTAGGCATGAAAACCTGCAGTTGCCAGAGAGAAAGTGTTCTAACAAGCAAACCGTAGATAACTCATCAAAGCAGGCTGCCCATCATACCAGCACCATTGCTGTCCAGGGACATGCTGTGACAGACACAGAACTTGTAAATGAAGGAAAGAAGTTGTTTGCCCAAGACTCACAGAAAAATTTGGCTGTTACAGAAATCAGGCAAGAAAAGGCAAGTGTCTTGGCTGGCGAACCCACAACTTCAAGTCATGTAAAAGCTCTAGAAAACAGAATCGAATCATTACCCAAAGATACCCACCAATTGTTTGAAACAGAAGCCAAAAAGCTTGATTTGGGACCACATGACAAAGCTTCCACTATGAGTATAAAACAAAACGACCCTGCCTTTGCACAGTACATCAGTAAATCACCAGTTGTAGCATGCTTAGAAAACAGACTAGAACCTGAAATGAATTTCAAACTTAATAAAAATCACCTTTCAGAATCTCTTCTTCACGCCAAGAAACCTCAGCAAGCCAAAGTATCACTTGATGATGAAACACCACTTACCCTAGACTGTAAGAAATCACATTTTGATGCTTCACCTTCTACCTTTGTTTCTGGAACGGACATTCCGAGTAAATTTGATATCCCTGTTTTAAAGGATGTACCCATAGAAACTGGAGATTCCAACATTGTTGGTATTTCTCATCAGCCAACTAAATGTCCAGAAAAAAATGTGGCAATTCATGTTGAGGCTGTAGATAGGAAGAGTCCTCCTTCCCTTGAGCATGAATCTGCAGTTCTTGAATCCAAGGAAGCTTTTGCTGAGAGTGAAAAATGCCAGTTTCATCCGGGTCCTGAAATGAGTGGCACTATGGTGGACCCATTGAACTCTGAGCCTGGAAGCCTCCCCAAGGATTATAATTTTGTTTCATCTCCAGACCTTAATAAAACAGAGTTAATGCCTACAAAGACCAAGACAATTAAAAGCACAGTAGAGGAGTCTGATTCCCTTCCCTTGGAAACCAAAATTAATAACATTGCTAAAACTTTATCAACATCTGAGGTTGGTGGTCAGAACAGTGTTCCTGTTAAGTCACATTCTGGAAGAGGAAAATCTATAGCCTTGCCCAAGTTATCTGTTTGCCAAACGGAGCCCAACAGCATTTCTCAGGGTGCAATTTCTTCTCCATTAGAAATTCCAGAGGAGCCAGCAAAGCCTATTTTATCAGAGTTAACTTCTCTAGAAGTTGAGCAGGACAAAAGTTTTCAATCAGTGGAACATAGGGAGATTAAAGACAAACGTTCAGATGCCAGCCTTAAGGACAGTCACCAGGTTCAGGTTTCTTCTACCTCCAAACATCAAAGTATAGAAGAAACAGAGGTGGACACCTTATGTGATCTTCCTTCTCTTCCCCAAAGTAATCTACCTGTGATTTCACCTCTTGGTCAACACAAAAAAGTCACTAGGCATATGGCACAGAATTGTGAATCCAACACTTGTATGATTCATGAATCTTTGGATATTTGTGGGACTAAACAGAGTTCTGGTCTCTCAGAAATGGCAGAACTCAGTTTAACTAGTATCTCCCCAAAGTTCCAAGAAACTGACAGCACAAAAGTAAATTCACCTTTTTTGAGTTCTGATATTAGCGTGGAAAAAAATGGGTTTTCATCAGAATATTCAAGCTTGCTTGATGTACCATCTGTGCTGAGATCAGCAAGGAAAGCCTCATCTCACACCAAGAGAGAGGAACCTCATTTTCTGAGTAGTGGTACTGATAGTGCATCCTTTTTCTCTGGTCAGCCAGAGGAAATTAGCATGGTTATACATTCATATGATCCCTCAAATAATTATGATTCTGTGAATGTTACTGAAGATCTCTCAGGCGAAGATGCCTCCATAACTAATCTGCTGGACCCTAGTAGCTTTTGCTTGGAATTGGAGACACCTGTCCCAACAGGGGCAGATGCAACCCCATTTCAGGACCATTTGGGGATTCATACTGGAAAGGTAGCTCTTGATTTCCCAGCCACTGCCCATTTGGACGATAACATGGAAGCAGAGACTGGAGCAGTTGCTGGGGCTCCAGCGTCAGTTAACAGCTCAAGCCAACAGTGTTCTGAAGCCTCTGTTGAGCATGCAGAAGCGAGGAGAAGAGCACATGACCAACTTTTGGACCTCAAAAGTGGTTTACTCAGAAAGGCTGACACATTGATTGAGGAGATTTTTAATTCTGTCAGAGAAGAACTAAAATCCAAACACACAGTTGGTACCTGCCAGGAGCATATATCCATAGATGGTGTAATGAATCCTGGTACTCTGAAGGACGATATCCCTGAGAAAAAAGAATCAGAAGTGGCATTAACAGGGATCCAACAAAAAGGGTGTTTGGAAGAGCAGGGCATGGAAAACATGTCAGAAGTCAAAGAGGAAGAGAAAGCCTGTGTTTCAACTACAGTTGGTGAGACACATCTTCTTTTTGATTCTGTTAGAATGAATGTGTCTTGTGTGTTAGAAGATCAAGCTAGGAAATTAGTCAATGAGGTTATTTTTTCAGCCCAAGAACATTTGAAAAATGATGCTTTTGAAGATACTGAGGCTACCTGGGATTCTGAGCCTCAGGCTCATACTTCAAAAATTCTGAACCGTGATAGTGTTAAGCCAAGTGATGTAGTTAGGGAGTTCTTGTTATCAGAACAGGCAGTAAATCAAAGCACGTGTGAAATTAGTGAAAACACAAAATTAAGAAGATTCTTCTCCATAAGTAACTTACTTAGTAGCACAGAGTCAATTAAAGGAAGAGATATTTCTTTTTACCAAAAATCTTCACTTTCTGGAAATGAAATTGGACAGTCTGATAGTATAAATTTGCAAGAATCAGATACTGTTTTACTCCCTGAAGACATGCCCCATAAAGAGTTAGATGATAGAGTAAAAGCACATTTATTTGTCAATGAGGACTGTAGAGAGACAAGAGAAAGAGAGCATGTGGATATTCACAAAACTGGGACAGAAGACACAAGAACTCTTGTACTGAATTTCAAATGTCCTCCATCTGTGAGTGATAACATTCTCACACCTGGCACATCCAAAAGCAGTTTGTCTGATAGTCTTGTATGTATATCTGAAAAAAGCTTGCCAGAACATAGTAAAAGCACACCCCTTGCAATGTCAGGAATAGGGAAAGTACACAAAAAGGATGAAGTAAATATGGGAAAAATTAAGCATATACCTTCCATGTTAGAAATGGGGAAAACAAACAAAAGGGATACCGAATTCAGTATTATGAAATGTGAGGCAGTCCCTCCTGTGTTAGATGCAGAAAGAGATCATAAAATGGAAGCTGAATTAAATATTACAAAAATTGAGTCAGATGCTGACATCTTTAAAATGGAAAAGGTGTACTCAGTGGGTGCTGAGAAGTATGCTGAAAAACCTGAGGGATTACCTGTCACTTTAGGAATAGAAACAGCTTGCAAGATGAGGAATACTGAAGGGGACATTGGCAAAACTGAGGTGATGCCTCTTATATCAGAAGTAAAAAATATCCACCAAAAAGATGCTGAAGGGGATATAGTAAAGAGTGAAATGACACCTGTTGCAAGAGAAGTGGAAAATGATTATCAAAAGCTTGCAGAAGGGGATGTTGGCAAGAGTGGAGTGACATCTGTTGTGTCAGAAGTAGAAAATACCTGCCCAAGAGGTGGGGAGGAGATTACCCAAGAGGCCAAGGCAGCATCTGTTCCCTTAGAAATGGAAGCTATTTACCAAAAGGATGCTGAAGGAGTTATTAGAAAGACTGAGAGGCCTGTGTTGAAATTGGAAACTACTCACCAAAAGGATGCTCTAGGGGTTTGGGGGAATACTAGAGTGGTATCTTCTGTGAAAGAAGCACACAGGAAGGCAGCACCTGCCTCCTTAGAAATGGGGAAAAAATACAAGGTAGATGCTGAAGAGACTAAAGGAAGAAATATGTTTATGCCTTCTAAACTGGAAATGAAAATAACATCCCCTGAGGATCCTAGTGGGACTCTTAGGAAACATGAAGAAATACCCACAGCCATAAATATAGAGAAAATACATGAAACAGAATTGACCATTACCCAAGTGGAAGGCATGCCCACTGTATTTGAAGCTGAAAAATCATCTCAAGAGTATGCTGAAAGCAGTGTTGGAGACGTGGAGGAAGAGCCTACTGAAATCAAGGAAAGCTTGATATTGCATGATAGCAGACTTGCCTCACACTTCAGGGGATATCAATCACCTACATTAAGTAAGGATTATGAGGGTTACCCGGCCTTAGCAATGTCAGATTTTCAACCTGAGGACACCGTAGTAAGGCTCAACAAAAGAGTGTCCATCACTACAATATATGACGCAAGAAGAGTTCTGGATTTTAGTGATGGGAAGGAAGAATCTAGTTTGGCCTTTGTTTCTCAGGACGAACAAGAAAATTCTTCCTTTACTATATTATATGAAGAGCCCCTTCAAGAGGAAGACAAGTATGCTTCTGCAGAAGTTAGAGAAACCAGCTCTGTCTTATTTCCCAATGTGGCCCCTTCCTGCATGCCTGTTTTGGCATGTGAAAGGTCTGAGAGTAGAACTGACCTCCTCCATCATCTTGAAAAAGATACAAAATCAGATGAGACATTTGATGGTGATAGTTCAGAAACGTTCTTATCAGTAGAGGCCAAAAGGTACAAAATTTATCCCTTGGCTTTGAGCCCCATTTATGAGGATGACAGCTCACAGGAGGACATTCTATCCAGTGAGGTTTCTCCTGGTCATCAAGGCTCCACTAAATCCAGAGAGAGTGCAAACCAATCTTCTTCAGTTTTGTCGCTTCTCCAGTCAGTATCAGAGCGTTTAAAGATGAATTTTGATGAAGATGACAGAGAGGTGGCTGAGGAAGAAGATGAGGAGGAAGAAGCATTGCAGAGAGGAGGCCTGAGAGCTCAAAGAAAGGATCATGTTACCTTCCAGTTGCCAGATCCTTCCATCACAAGCTACCCTGACAATGACCAGGAAAGCACTGGACTTTCTAAGAATCCGCATGTAATGTCAAGTGACCCTGCTCCTTCCAATCTGCAGATTGGTCTGTGGCCAGAAAAGACTTTATTTTTACAAAAATCTGACCTTACTTCTAAATTGCATTCTTCTTTAAAGAGTGCTTATCATCAGTATTTACAGACTTCTAAAACTCATTCCTCGGAAAAAGGAACCAGATTTGGTGGGTGTTTTCAGGAACCAGTGTCAAAATATTTCAGTGTTCAAGACAACCCAGGCAGATTGGGCCCCTACACTGTGGTAAGTTCTTTTGATTATTTAACTAGTGAAATTAAATCTTGGGTTGTAAAATTATCTAAAAGCATGCTAAAAAAAAAATCAGTATTTTGACTTTGTATAATACAATTTGTTTTTTGAAAATATTGGATTTACTCTTTGGTTGAATTGTGTCAAAATTTGTGTATTTTAACTGAATTGTTATGCTGAGAAAACACAGTTGCCTGATCAGAATTTAAAATGCCTAATAGAGGAGCCACTTATTACACAATCCTTAGTTGATATTTTTCAAACTAAATTAAGTGATGACATTTTGGATTTCTCCAGGTATTATATGTGGGAAAGTTGTCACTTTCCATTTAGCTCATACATATCATGAAAATATTTCTGTCAAGTAAAATTTTTATATATTTGCTTGACAACAACTTCCCAGTGGAGTTGCTCGTATTCATACAAAGCAGGACAGTGAGTAGCCCAATTTGGAGAAAAAGAGCTAGAAAATGTGTTGAAATTCAGTTACATCTTTCATTGATTTAGCAATATTTAAATGTCTGACATAGAATATTTACAGAACATGGGACTTTCCCTTTCCGGCATTCCAAGGATTATGGAACTTTGTTGAAGACTCTCAAGGCCTGTATCTTGACCTAGAGCACCCTTAGCAAATAGTGTACCAATCAGTACCTTGCAAGAGAAATTCATTTTGAAAGAAATGACAGAATTTGAAGAAATATGTCTTTTATGGGTCCCCATTGCCAACCAAATTAAATGGAACCTCTTCACTCTGATTATAAGTTCTGTTTTGTCCAGTCTTTTCTCCCTAATTCTCTAGCTACACACCCGGTGTTTCTTGCCTCTGTTCTTTTTCTGAAAATGGTTCTCTTCCTGGAATATTTTTCCCTATCGTCCCCATCCCTTTTTTAAGCTCATGGAAATCCTGTTTTCTAAGACCCTCTCAATTCCTCAATTCCACTTCCTCCAAGAAGCCTCTTCGTGACCTCCCTGTCCCATTGCCTCACCTCCTTGCTGGTGCCATTTCCACAACCTGGCCTTTTTCTTGTGTTTTACCGGTTCATTTAACTTAGTCCCACCTTAAAAATGTAGATGTCTGTTTGCCCCTTCTAAGCAGGAGGCTGTTTGAAGGCAGTGATACCACGCTGTTATACTGCATGTTTGCACTCTGTTCCTTCTGTGTAGAGAAGCCCTTTGCTCATAATGGTGACTAGTACATATTGGGTATATGATGGCTAAGAATGTAAACCACATGTGTTTCCTCTAATGTTAAGTCTTACGTTTTCAATTTTTACTATTTCAGAATGTTGACAGACAAATTCTGAGATGTAACCCAAGGCCTGGGAAGGTAAGGATAGTTTTTGCAAGTAGATGAAGATAAAAAGTGACAATCAAGATTCCTTTTAGGCCTAGGGCGTTTAAGGTAAATCCTTTTGCTTGATTTAGAAAATGATTTTTCTACTCGAGGATTTTACATTTGAAGTAATATTTGTGTTTATCTATTTAGGATATTTTATTTTGTATATTCTAGGACATTCTGAAAATTTAAATACATTCTTAAAATGGGTCATTGGGCCTGTCTACTTTATGTTGCAGATGGTTATCTATGATCTCCATGGAAGTGAATATAAACACGAGATCTACTGTAATATTCCTGATGCTACAGCATGGTCTTTTCCCAATGGGATACTGATAAAAGTTGTAAGAGGCTGGTAAGAAATCTCAATGGTTTATAGCATATTTTCTGAAATTAAGCATGCCTTCTTGTATTTGTACTTTTTGTAAAAGTCGTATTCCTTTTCCTCTAGTATTAGACATAAATATTTGCTATGGCAGAAAATACAGGGTGCTTTTAGTACTTAAAGCCACCAGTCACCAATACTTAACACAGTATTGGGAGTATTAGCAGGATAGAATTGGCACACTGAGTTGAATGCTTCAGTCAAATGAAGCAGAGTTTTGAAAATGAGTTCAGAATTTGTGGGATGCTAAGGAATGCGAAGGTCACATAGTTAGAGTTATTAGTATAGCTGAAATGCTCAAGAAGTGAGGAAGTCCTCATATGGTCCAAATCTGGTGGAAAACCTCAATTTGTTATTATGAACCATGTCCCATAGACATGCTGGAGTCAGAATTTCTTTGTCCAGAGTTTGGGTTGGTATTCGTGTTGTAAGAAGTATAGTGTATTGTTGTCTTTACTTAACAAAATGTAACCCATCTCGTCAAAATCCATCAAAAGGAAAGTTGGACTAGAAGTGTAACTTGAAATTGTTAAATTATTTCTTCTCTTTTTCTTTTTTAATTTTTTAAATTATAATTTATTATGTATGACAGCAGAATTCATTACAATTCATATCACACATATAGAGTGCAAATTTTCATATCTCTGGTTGTACTCAGAGTAGAATCACACCATTCATGTCTTCATACATGTACTTAGGGTAATGATGTCCATCTCATTCCACTGTCTTTTCTACCCCCATGTCCCCTCCCCTTCCCTCCCTTCCCCTTTGCTCTATTTAAAGTTCATCTAATCCACTCATACTTCCCACCCCAAACCCATTTTGAATCAGCATCTTTATTTCAGAGAAAACATTTGGCATTTAGCTTTTTGGGATTGGCTAACTTCACTTAGCATGATATTCTCCAACTCCATCCATTTACCTGCAAATGCCATGATTTTATTCTCTCTTAATGCTAAATAATTCCATTGTGTATATAAATTATTTCTAATATAAATGTATAGCTTTGTGTATATAATGAAGTACATGTGTACATAAATATAGACAGACATATATTGTGTGGTATGGTGTTCAGTAGCTTTATTTCCAAATATGTATACTTCTTTCTTATACTACTTGTCTATAATTAAGATATATTATTTTTTAAAAAAGAATCTTATATTCTAATAGTAGGAAGAGGCCAGTTTAAAAACTATAAGTAGATAAAATGATCTGTTACTTATTATTATTTGTCATATGCCTCATTACTTATAAGATTAGATATAACTCATCATTGTGTTTATATTTGTTTAGCTGGCTATTATATGAGAAACCACATTTCCAAGGTCAGAAATGTGTGTTAGAAGAAGGGGAAACAGTGTTAAATCGTGACTGGATTCTTCAGAACAGAAAACATCCACAAAGAAAATTTGTATTGGGTTCTATCAAACGTGTCTTAAAGGTAACAAAGCTGTAGATTTTCCCTTATTTTTTATTTCATTTATCACATAGTAAAACTATGTTGTGGCCTAGCAATACTTAAGTATAGTTACTAATATTTGTTCTAACTTTATTAATCTTTATTATCATATTGATAATTTTTGAATTTACATATATAAACCATTGAAGTGAATGAAAACTTAAAATTTTAACTGTAATCTGGCTATTAAAGTGGTACATGTACTGTGTTCGTACATACCCATACACATGTGTGCATGTTTATATATAACATTAGGACTATATTATCTAGGAACCTTTAGGGGAAAAACCAATATTTTCAAATGTATCTCTTTATAGTATTTTCTGCTGCTACTAAGTATGGCCATATGTGTGTTTGTGTGTAAGTGTGTTACGATACATCAGAGAAGGAAGGATGAGGAGAGGAAGCAAAAGGTGTTTTTTTTTTTCTGTCTAGAAATATTAGTGAAGATGAGGAAGGTCTTCTAAGATAATTAAACATTTTGTGAGACACTCAATGATAGTTTAGAGGAAGGGTTAATTAGTGATAAGGGAAGACCTCATATAAGGACAGAATATCCTCTCACATATTTAAAACTTTTCCTTCAGCAGTAACGTCATATATGAGGTAGTGAAGTTATTCATGTGACAATCATCATGGGTATATATGTTTTCCAGAAATAATTTATATACTTCAAAATAGAAATTGAAGTGAATCCTACTATGATTTGCTTAAGTTATTAAACTGTTGATAGTTGCAGAAAAAATATGTGGAAAAACTAAAGCTGGAACATAGAAAAACTCAGCATAAGGTCTGTCTGCATATATTTGAATGAATCAGAACTACACCAGTGTGTGCCTAACAAATATTTGTGTCTGCTTTTGGATCTAATACCATTTGGGGTTCTGGGAATAGAAATGCAAGTGAGATATAGTCCCTTATTTCATGTTGCTTAAAGTCTGGGAAGAAGCTGCTGAATCACATGACCATATGACTCAGGAAGTGCTCTGCAGGGCCCTGAGAGTACACCAGGAAGAATTACCTCACCTTTTGGGAAGAGGCATCTCCCCTGGAGGAGGTAGCACCTGATCTAAATTTAGAAAAGATCAAACAGGAGTTTGACAGTATGGGACATGTGAGGGAGCTCCTGGTAGAGCCACTTTTGTCCAGATGAAGAGGTGAGCATTGGTGGCCCAGTGGTACTCAAGGAGATTAAAATGGCTAAGGCAGAGAGGGAAGTGTCCACTTGGATGGAAGGATCCAAGTGACCAGTTCAGTTCTGCAAAGAACATCTGAATGCTCACTTAATTTAGCCAACTCACTAGAAATTCCTTGAAATGAATAATCAGTTTGTAGGTGGAATCTTTTGAGATTTGTATAATTTATAGTCTTATGCTTTCCTTGAGAATATCAGACACCGTGTAAAGCTTAGGGGCAAAAGTGAATGAAATGAGACATTCAGCCACCCTCACAACCCCCGTGAAATCAAAGAGTCAAATCGAACAGATCAGTTTGTTGATCTTAGATATTTCAAGGAATATTTACACATCCACCATTTGCTTTCATTTTTTTCCCTCCTTCCATTGTTGCTAGTTTTAGAACTAAAATTTTTGGATTTTTAGTTGCAATGCTAATGTCTTGATTGGCTCATACCTTTTGGTGAGGAAAGAAAATACTCTTTGAACAGAAAACACACTCACATTGTTCTAAACATTTTATAAAGTAAGCGTCAGGCATTAAGATGTTCTCTTTTTCTCTAGTCTTGTCAAGATTCTGCCTGTGGATAGCTTCATTTTCATGGTGGCTGTTGCCGTGCCAGATTCATGGAGGCCTATGCCAACTTTATATTGTTTCATTACCTTACAGTTGGTTTGATATTAGTAGTAGTCAAAACTTTAATGTCCTTTAACCCTTTATGTGGTATTATTCTGTATATGGGACACAAAATTTTATAGGACACTTAAAAAACTGTTCAGTTTAAGTTTCCGTAAGTGACCAATATATGGGACTATGGGGGAAAATGGATTAAAGATGATGCTTTCACAGTGTCTTCACTCAACTGAGGACAGATACACCAGATACCCTTAGTCTACAGCAATTTGTATATTTTGAATACTCAGGGCTCATCTTTGTCCCAGTGAGAATAATTGAGAGTGGGGGTGGCAGTGCAGCAAATTTTGACTCAGTGCTTAACTTTCTCAAATTAGAATAAATGAGTATTGCAAATTACTATGTTTACTGTGCATTTAATATTCGTTTTAATGGTATGGCATTTTTCTTATGGCCAGAAGTTACTTAGTTTGTGCACACTTCATTAATGAATCTACAAGAGAGAGATCCGTTGTTAAATCAGGGACTGAGTCAGCTCATGGAAAATAGAAACAACTAGATTTTCATACTGTTTTCATTAACATACATTCCCACTCTGTTTCTCTTTTATAACCTTGTTTCTTTTTCTACTAATTATTGTAATAGTCTAAGGTCACAGAGTTTACCAGGATACACTTGCAAAGTATAGTACAATTAGAAATGTCCAGGAGGAAGCCAGTAAGCTGTTAGAGTAAGCTATTAATTGTTGCTAGATTACTATAAAGTACCCTTCAGTTGCTAGTGTTTGACTGCCTTTGTCCATCAAGGATTATAATACTTCTTCCAAAAGATGCTATTTCTGTGATTAGCTACTGTAGAATACAGAACACAGTGAAATCTTTTTCAATCAACTGGAGCAAAAATTGGGCTCCTAATAAAGATAGCTGAGAACATATGCCTTCTTATTTTTGTTTATATTCACTTTTAAGTTTTTGCTGCTGTGCTGTTTCCTTCTGTGTTGTAGACAAGAATTCCTCTTTGCTTTTCCCCTTTTGAAGTACACCACCCAAACATTGTTTGTATAACACAATGCAGAGGAAACCTGTTTGTGTGAGACACTTAGTTATGTATTCTGTTACTGTACCTCAGATCCCTGGAGGAACATTAATAGGCAGCATTTGAAATAATGTTACTAGAACTCTATTATGAATAGCATACAAAAGACTATTGAAGATTGACAGTTTACTGTTCTGGACATTTCTGGCTATTTTTGAAATGAAAATTTGGAAGGATATCTATCTACTTTTATATTTCAAAGGCGATTTTAGGTTATGTTTCTTTAATATGTTAAATTTTGAAACTAATTTTCTGAAATGAGATGAATAAATGTTCTTGCCTTTATGTATTTTTTAAGAAAAGTAGAACAGTTTGTAGGACATAATAATAATACATAACAAGTGTAGCTTTTATTATTTTAATGTTCTGTTTATATTCACCTTTTTTGAACTAAACAGCTTCACTTTGAAAGGATAATTGTGACATTGTATTTTAACTAATAAAATTTGAGTTTGAGGTACTAAATTCCCTAATATGGTTCTAAATGTCTTCTATATGAACACTGAAAAGTACTTTAATATTACATATAACAATCTAAATTATTTCACATTTTAATGAGAATGATCAAAACTCAGTTTGGGGAAAGGTTTAAGAATTACAAAATTGCAAAACACATAAATAGTTTCAGTCTTTAATATATACCACCTCTGTTACTGCAGTTACCTATTTTAGTAAAGTGTATTCATTTGAATTTCACATTTTCCTAGGTAAGAATTCTGCTCCTGCAACCTGAGTTGTATAATTACACACTCATGCGTAATGAGATAGATTGTGTGTTCAGACAGAAGGTTATCTGTAATTTTGGAGAAGGGGGGAAATAATTGTGATATTACTTCCCTAAAGAAGAATGAGATCTCTCTTTTGAGTTATGAGTTGACTGTTATGAGAGATTTTTATAAATAATGCAGAGAGTCGTCTCTTTAGCTAAGATGAGGGAAGCATCTTCAGAGTTTACAAAGGCATAGTAAGGCTAGCCTGACTGCAGAGCTATGGGGTGTGAGTGGGGTCATGGTGCTATGGAACAGTGAACTGAAGTGTGGATTGAGTATGATTACATCTTCAGCCAAGGTGCTAAAGGTAGAAAGTTGTGTTCTCACAATCCAAGCTACATTGAGTAGCTTCTACTTGATTGGTGGTTGTGATTGGAGGCCGGGGCGGGAAGCATTATTGAAGAGTGGACCATGGCAATGGGATTAGATAAGGAGATAAATGGGAGTGTAACTTTAAAGAGAAGATCTGAAGGAACATGTTGACAGGGGGTACCTAATTCTTATGACTGATCATGGAGTGTAGAATCAAATTTCTTAAGTTCTTAAGCCTTTCTTTATTATACCAGTTTACACTAAAAAAAAAAAAAAAAAAAAAAAAGGTTCCACAAGTAGGAAAACAGATTTCCTTTCCCCTCACCTCTAATTCCGACTTCTTTTGTCAGTGTAAATTAGATAAACACTCTGAAGGCGTAGTGCCTCTCTATTCTTTATTTTTTATGTCCCCCATGAGATCAACTTTTATTTAACTCCCTTCCTCCCTTATGGCTTTGTTATGCTTCTAAGAAGGAAGGCTTACAGACCTTTGGCACTTAAAGCCTCTAGTAACTCTGAGCATTACTTAATGGAACAAGTGTTTAAAAAACAAAGCAGAAAAAACTGGTACAATTGTTTTTCCATCAATTTAATCATTTTCTTGTTATTAAGGTTTCTTTAGAGAAATTCATGTAGAAAGTAACTAAGGAGCAAAAATATTTCCTTTATGTTGTTTTTGTGAAGAAATTCAGCTGAACAATGAGAATAATTGTAACTATGTCCAGGGGGTTTGGGAATGCTAGCCTGTGTGTCTTTAGATGATTTCAAAGTAAAATTACTTATTTACTGTTTTTCAGGATTGCAGCATTCCAGAGATAGAACTTTGCTCACAGTCTGACTCAGCTTATTGTCCCATCTACATACAGCGAGCAGTCCCCAATTTAGAAGAACTGAGTATCCCCAAATCTGTGTCTTTCACTGTGAATTCAGGAGTGTATGTATCAGTTCCTCTTTATTATAATGATTGATGGCCACTAAAGTTAATTTTTTGTTTCATATTTTAGTAGGTGACATACAAATTTCTTAAGTTTTAGTTAATTTACTTTATTTATGCTCCTGGAAAGACAAATGCAGGTTTTTAAACATATTCAATCTTTCTGTGGAACCAATTAAGGCTTTTATATATAGAATCCTTAGACATAGTTCTTGGTGGATGGATCCTTTGTCTCTCACATTTTGAGGCTGAAAAATAAAAACATGTCCCGGGTCTAGAAGTCTGGGGTTTCTTAGGTGCTAATTCCTGACAACAGGGAGGCACTGTGTTGTTTATCACCCCTCTTTTCCTGAAAGGCAGGTGGTATTGCCCTCACATTTTAGGTAAATGCTTTTGCAAGACAACTAGATGCTGAGCATAGATTTGGTTCTAGGCCTCTGGGTTTCTAAAGGTATCTGTAGGACCATGCATCTCAGCTCAGTCATTGTTTAGTTCCTGATTGGCTCCTGTCACAAAAACCAGTTCATGCCTAGCACAGCATGGATTCCTCTCTGTCTCCCATTATTTTTGTCGGCTCTGATAACAGTTGGTATACAATTTTGGGGTCAGTATAGGACATCTTTCTTTGTCTCCTCCAACTATGAATTAAAACTCTTGGGCAGACCTAGTAATTAGCCGAATGCATTGGAAGTATCTATAATTATCAAGCTTGGCTGGGAGATAGATGCATCTTTTCAGAATCTTATTTCAAATACTATTTCTATGGCAGCTAGTAGAACTGATATTGATTCTAAAATTTCAGGTCAAAATGTAAAATGCTTAGTGAACCCCTCCCTCTGATTGTCCTAGTTTGGAAAAGAATGGATATACGGGAATGATTTTGACTTTTCAGTTATATTCTTCTTGAGTTAAAAGTGCACAGGCTTTGAGTATTAGAAAATTCTAAGAAAAGTAAAACTTGGAAAACATTAGAATAAGAGGCTAGAAGGATCTGAGTTTTTCATAACATGTTAACTCTATGTGCTGTCTGGCCAGTCACTTAGGATGTATTTTACTTGTGTAATTCTGTGACGGAGGATTTTCTGTTTTGTTTTGGGCAAGCCATTTTACTGTTACAGATTCAGATGAAATTATTACTATTATACTTTAACCAATCATTCACTTCTTGTTTAGGTGGCTTGCCTACCCAGATATTAATTTTAAAGGTCAAGCTACAGTGTTGGAGGAAGACCATGGGCTCTTTGAGATTTCTGCAGCAGAAATGAAATCATTGCTTCCACTTCAAATGGTAAGCAAATTTAGAAAGAAGTGCTTCTTCCCTCAAATACTCATGAATTTAAAATTAAATAACTATGATGATTACTCATACATCTCAATCTGTCATGAATATGTGTACTACTGAATTGGGTTACTGCATATTGTTTTTCTGTTTATATCATAGAGAGGTCTGAATTTACCTTGTGTTGTACCACAAGTATCAGTCACAATACCTGCAGTTTCCTATATAAGTATTTTTTGTGAGTTTCTTTTCTTGATACTCCTTAGAAAATTGGTTGTAGTAAATTACATTCTTCCACCTCAGTAATGAATGGTAAGCTCAGCATTGATAATAAATGTATAGTTCTGTCAATGTTTACTTTCTTAAAGATAATAAAGTATCTGCAGGATACTTTTTTTTTTGAGGAGAAAACTATTCAACTAAATGTTGACTGTGTAATAGAACATTTTTAGTTCTTCTGTGCCTTTTTTAGAACGCTATGAAAAATAAGAAATTTTAAGAAATATCACAATGTGAAGTACCATTTTGAAACAAGAAATTACAGAATTAGGGTTTTGTGAGGAAGGGTTTACTTTTTCTGCTGTACAATCTTGGCATCATGAAGACATCAAGTGTGATTAGAAAGTGTTGGTAGAACCTGGAAGGGTTAAGTGTGGATAGCTCAATGCTCTTATTTAGAAAGCTCAATTAATTGTAGGGTAAACATTTGGATATTTGGTTTAGAAATCTACTCTGCCAAATATGACTGCTAAATCTACTAGCAATTCAGCTTTCTGTTTGGGACATTCTGAGCAGGGGATTCAATCTTAATTGCTCATGTGTGCTCAAGGAATAAACCTCAATTGTCTTCATTGTAGTTATAATTTGGAATCTTTTAAAATTGTAGAGCAATCGGAGACTGTTTTGACTACTACAGAGTTCTGTACTTAAATGAACTTAAATTTGCTTATGTAGTCTTACCAAGTTAGATTTTTATATAACCTACATATGTCACTTAGATATTTTGAGAGATTTTAATATCTGCATATCTAATATTAAATAAGAGTATCTTGTCATCTTTAGGGTGGACTGAAAGTGGAAATGCCTATGAACTTAAAGGTAAGTGTTGAAAATGACTTTTGCGGTAGGCCCCAAATAATGAATACTAATCTTTTTTTTTTTTCTTTTGGGGAGCGGGTACCGAAGATTAAATGCAGAGGCACTCAACCACTGAGCCATATCCCCAGCCCTATTTTATAATTTTGTACTTTATTTAGAGACAGGATCTCACTGAGTTGCTTAGCATCTTGCTTTTGATGAGACTGGCTTTGAACTCAATATCCTCTTGTCTCAGCCTCCCTAGCCGCTGTGATTACCAGTGTGTGCCACAGCACCCGGCCTCTAAGTACTAATCTTTAAGTATTTGAAATTACTGGAATGAAACAGTTCCCAGAACATATGATAATAAGGGATGTTGAGGTGGTAGGAAATGATTATACAGACTGTTCATGTGTAGTTGTGAATGAGGAGTGAAATCAGTATGCAAAGTTGGAGCTCAAATCCATCAAGTATCTACTGATGTCAAGGTGATTGGTCTGATTTTTGTTAGGGAGGTGAGTTTGAGATTGCAGCTATATACTTAAATGGAAATAGTTAGCATGTATTTGAGGATGATGCTTAAAGAGGAGATCAAGACTGATGAGAAGGAGGTATACGGAGCTCTTATCACATAATCATCAGTTTGTAAGTATAAATACCTGAAAGGAGGAAGAGAGCCAATGAAAACTGGAGGCAGGGGTGCTAGGATTAAAATGAGGGGAAAAAGGAGACAGAGTTACAAAATGTATGTTAGGAGAGAGAAAGAAACTTAGTGCAGTGATCAAATATGCAAGCACCCCTCCTTATAGCTAAGTTGTAGTATCTGTAGCAGAGGCAGGCATGGAAACAGGAGTTCATTCATCCTTCTCCTGTCCTTGGAAACAAGACACAATTCCTCCAACCCTACCATTTCTAGACTTCCTAATTTGTGGAATTGACTACCATTTCTCAATAACATATATGAAGACTTTAAAAACTTTTTTATATCTAATGCACATTGACTCTATATGTTGCAATTATATATCTGGGTTTTTAAAAAAATATTTATGCTTGGGTTTCACTCTTAGACTTTTAAATTGGTATGTGATCAAAAAATTTCCAGTCCCAGGTGATTTGAAAATGCCATGAAAATTGCAAACTACTAATCTAATAAATGTACATTTAGCTGTAACACTGAGTGACTCGTTCGAATCTCCTAGCTGGTGACATGACAGGTATGAAAGGCTGAGTTTAGACATGACAGATCTGATAGGCTCAGTCTTCCTTGGGCATTTGTAGTTTTACAGGTTGTAAGTATATATGACTGGATTGATCATCATAAATAATCACAGTTTACAAGCTCTTAGATAACATTGATAATGTCACAGAACCTTACTCATTAAAGAATTACTGGTTTTTATTTGGTTTGAATATTGTCATCACATGTAACAAGTTATATCCCAGTGGCACATGCCTGTAATCACACCTACTCAGGAAGCTAAGGCAGAAGGATCCCAAGTTCAATGACAAACCTCTACTACTTAGCAAGACCCTGTGTCAAATAAAATTTTGAAAAAGGACCTAGGGCAGTGGTAGAACACTTGTCTAGTATATAGGAAGCCCTGGATTTGATCCCCAGTACCACAAAACAAGCAAGCAAATATATCACTTCTAATAGATCTTTCTATGAAAATCTCACGTGCGAAATAGAGCCATATTTTTATATATATATATATGCATATATGTAGTCTACATAATGTTATTAGCATTTAGGAAGAAGGAAAATGTAACATTTTTGTTTAGTATATTTTAGTATTATGTCTTTTTAGCTATGATCTTGGGTTGGTAGCTGTGCACAAATTATTCCAATAACCATAAATAGGATTCAGTGATAAAGTGTGGACAGATTAATGCTATAACCACTGTTATTATTTTAATATAATTAGGACAACTGGTACTTGAGGAGTTAAAATGGAAAAATAGACAAGAAAAATACTGTATCAAGCCAAATTTGATATAAATGAAATATTGTAAATTTGTTTTCTACTGTGCTTGTCACACTACTCCCAAATTTGAATCAAATATCCAATTCAAAAAGTCCATAATTTTTAATCATTTATTTCTAGAAATTTTACACTTAAAAAAATTTAAATATTTATTTCAACAAATATTAATGACCATAGAAGCAGTTAGGTTTTATAAGAAGTGAAATATGTTTTCTGAATTCAATAATTTATTGCTATACACTGGAAACTCCAGAGTTTTTTATTTCCTATAGGAAAAATTCTATACTTAAATATGAAGTATACTTAAATATGAAATTCTATACTTAAATTCATATTTAAATATGAAGCCAGGTCAATATAAAATTCAAAACACAGGACTGAATGTATAAGGATGAGTTATAAGATAGTTTTATCAGTTATAAGACAGTGTATGAAATGATCCTAGAATTTGGGTGAACAGAATAATATAATCAAACCCAGGTATATTTATATGAGAGAGATATATTGTTAGTTAACATGTTTTACCTTTATGAAAAGGAGTAACATTTCATGTGAGTATCAGACACTGCTGTGTTATAAGACTGTATTAATGAAAAAAAACCAGCAGTCCCTATTTACATCACATATATATATATATATTCATATTCTAGAGTATGATCATGGTAAATATTTTTTTTTGTTGTTTTTCAGGTCATTATTTATGAAAAACCTCACTTCCATGGACAGGCCAAAGACTTTAGTGAACATATCGATTCCGTCCCTGATTTTTTAAAAAATGATGGGGATTTTCAAGGAATTGGATCAATTCGTGTCATTGGTGGAGTGTGAGTGTCATCTTTTCAATATTTGACTTAGTATCCTTCTTTTGAAGTCTACATAATAAGTGCTCAACAGGGCAAACACAGCCAGCCTTATTCTAAAAATATACATCCCTTCTGTAGTATGCAAAGTAACAACAATACTTACTAATGATTTTCTACGTTGGTATTAGAGATTTTGAGATAGAAGATATTTTCTACAATTAATGTAAAAATCACTGCTTAGCATTTCTAGACACAGCATAGAAGGTAAGAGTTGTAAACTAAGTTATCTTCTCACTGGTAGTGAACATGAGTGACAACCCAGTCTTATCTTGTGTTCTGTTGGTGTGTTGATGTTTATAGACTGATGTGTTGAGGACTTTGCCAGTCAACCCCCTCTCATTAAAGAAATAGCTTGGGTTATGTATTTATAAAGCTGAGAGTTTTTGACACTGATGGCCCTCGTCTCTGAACTGTGTTTGAGGAAACTCTTAAAAGAGCACCTGGGTATAAATACATGTACACACATAAAGGTAAAACCATAAAGAAGAAACTTCCCACAAAGCCTATTTACTGTTGTCAACCCAGTGCCGGAATCCCTTAGAAACATTCTCTTGTCTGTACCAAAACACTGGTTATTTTGAATATTGGTTCATTTGAATGTTAAGCATTAGTGTCTTTTAATATTTGCTGTAATATCATATAACTTGTTTATCCTCTTCTAGCAAATGATGCTACTAAAATATTTTTATTCACAGGCATTAAATAGCTTATCAAAGGCCACTTGAGTGTCTAACATATATGAGCTTAGACTTCACAATTTATGACAACAAATTAAGTGATGGCCATACCAGCCAAAATGAAAATGTCAGAGACCTTAACATCGTAGATATATGGGTCATATTGATAATTGCTCTGACAAGTTGGTAGTTATTTAATTACTTATCTTTAAATTTCAAAAAGTGTTTGGGACTGAAAAGAACAAATACAGTTTGGCTAAATACATATTTCTATGTTGTATTTCTTTGTAGTCTTTGGTTTGTGAACACATCTGCTTCTTATTAATCCTGCTCTAAAATATTTTTGCCTCTTCCTGTCTTTGGAATCTAAATGTTTTCCCCATTAACTAAGCAGACTTAAACTAGATTTTTGCTTTACAGAATATTTTTTTAATTAATTTATTTTTTTATTGGTTGTTCAAAACATTACAAAGATTGCAGAATCACATCGGTTTACACATCCACATTTTTACATAGTGCCGTATTAGTACCTGTTGTATTCTGCTTTACAGAATATTATCTGCTACAATTTGGTGTGATAGACAGTGTTATTCTCTAAGTTTTCTTACAACTATTTAATAAGAATAATCTCAAGAAAGTATGGCTGTATACAGCGTACACAATTCCATTTTTATATGTCACTTGCAGGAGAAAAATGTGATGTTCCCACTTAAAAATGGCCATCTGGCTTCATTTGTTTTCGCCATTGTTTGCTGTTTGTTTGCTGTTTATGTGTAGATATTGTAGACTCTTCTTTATCCCTATCTCATCTTGAGGAATTTAGGGAAAGTAACAACAATACTTACTAATGATTTTAAGAAAAGAACTGATGTTCTTTTTTTTTTTTTTTTAAGTATTGGGGATTAAACCCAAAGCTTTGCATATGGCATATGGTAGATCCATTCTTGTGGTAACTATATCCCTGGCCCTTTTTGTTTTATTTTGAATCAGGGTCTTACAAAGTTGCCCAGACTAGCCTTAGATTTGAAATTCTTCTGCCTCAGTCTTCTGATAACTAGGATTTCAGGCGGACATCAGTTCACCTGGTGATCTCCTGAGACTGACATTCTTAATTTTTCTCAGATAATATATATAGTTAGATATCCCAAATAGACAGTTAAATAGAATGGAATCTTAATCACAACAATCTGTTATTAAAACTAGGCAGAAGCTTTCTGCACTCTCATTATGCAATAGATTTACTAAACTTCATCTATCCTTTAACATTAAAATCTTCTATACCTCATACACTTTTTTTCTCATTCTGGTATGATTAAAAACATGTTTTGAATAGCCACATTATTATAAAAGGAATTTAGAATTTGTAAGTTTTCTGTGAAATTTGTTATTACAGGATAGTTTAAGAATACAATAATATTAATCTCTCTACATATTATAAATATACTAAGGTGTTTAAGTAGTTTAATATAAGTTAAAGTTTATTCTAATTCATGTGAACCCCCATCCTCTGTACCCCACCATACATATACATACAGAAAGCAAGAAGAGATTAATTATTGTTGAATGAATACTATTATAGAGTGTCTTATGAAAACAATTGGGGGGGAGCAGGGAGAAAAGAAAAACAATGGTAGGGAATCCTCCTGTGCTTTCTTTTGATAAGCTTCTGAATTCAGAAGTCTCCAAAGCTTAGAATAGTCATCCTTAGAATCTGCCTACTTGGAAGGTCCTTCTCTAATTGTACAGATCATTTAAAGTCTGATTTAAGCAGATCTTCATGTTTCACGAACCATTGATGCCCAGACTGTATAATGTGGATTACCCAATAAAAAGATAAGTTTCATGGAGAAGCTTCTCAGTGTCCTGTACTGATACTTTTAGATTAGAAGTCAGGAAGGTACCTGGAAAGTACTCAGCCACAGTGCTTCCTGTTTCCACCATAATCTCTGATAAAATGAGGGGATCAACAGTTTCCACCCATAAATACTTACAGAAGTTTTTGTATACATGTAGGGCACCAGCACTCCTGGTGTTCTCCAGCTCAGTTGCTTTGCCCAGTTCTTCTTTAATAAACCTTTCTGTATTGTGGTTTTTTGATCTACAGCTTGGTGAGAGGTCCTTTGACTAAAAAACCCTGAGTACATGTATAATATAGTAGTCATTCTATGGTTCAGAAGGGCTTGCTCAGTAAAATAAGAATGATTATCTTTGAATCTCAATGTGAGTTTGTAATTTTTCTTGTCAGCTGTGTGTGACTTCTATAATTTTTACTTGGCAAAGTATTCTCTTAAGCATGTTGACATGTGGTAAAAAGTCATGCCACAAAAATTTAATAAGCTTGCTCTGTTGCAGTTTTACAATTAACCTTTCGTTGGGAAAAGCCTCCAAACTATAAAAATTTTTGATCCATGAAGAGTTCACCATTTGTCTTTGTAAATGGAAACAAAGCAGATGTGTTGGGTTTTTTTTTTTTTTTTAGAATATGGAGATGAACACCTATTTGCTTTATTGTGAGTTTCTCTCTTTTGCTTTCTCGACTAGTTTTATTAATGGCTCAGTTGATCATCCTCTGTATTTCTAGGTGGGTCGCCTATGCAAAAGAACATTTTAAAGGCCAGCAATTTCTGCTTGAAGAAGGACACTTTGAAGATACTAATGCTTGTGGGGCATTAAGTGGTCCTATCTTATCTTTCCGGTACTTACAAGCTGTGAGTTTACCTCCTTAATTTAAACTTTCTACCTGTTTTCTCTTTTCATGAATATTAAACATGACTGCTGATAAAACATGAGATTATAAAATGTTTCTAGCAGCTAGGAGCATGAAACTGAACTGAAAGTGACTAGCTTGTTTTTTTTTTTAACTGCCATAGTGATTATAGAGTATTTATTTTTTACTTTCCATCCACTAATTCTGTAATTATTTTCTGGAGCCCTTACTTTGTAGATGTATTATGCTAGATGCTGGACATATAGTGGACAGGGACTCAGTCCTGTTATTCCAGAGTGGCAGTCTGGTAGGGAAGGTAGCACTTACATAAATATTTGATACTATTTGCCTGTGATGGAATGATGTACTCAAGGTACCCAGGAAAAGGTTATTTGTTCAGTTATTTCCACTTGGAGTAGACAGGACAGCATGGAAAACATGATGACTGAGCTGAAATTCATGTACAGGATTTATCTGTGAGACATGGTGGTGCACACCTATAATCCCAGTGACTCTAGAGACTTAGGCAGGAAGATCATTTAAGGCTGGCCTGGCAACTTAGCAAGACCTTGTCTCAAAATTAAAAAGGGTTGGAGATGTACCTTGGTATAGCACCCCTGGATTCAATTCCCAGTAACACACACACACACACACACACACACACGAGTTGCCCAAGTGGAGAATTTCCAGGACAGGGTAAGGCTAGGATAGGTCCTATTTAGAAAGAGACTAACACTTTTAATGTGTAAAGTCAAGGTTGTAAAGCACTGGTTCTCAGCTGGGGTGATGTTAGCTCATGGAGGGCATTTGGCAATGTCTGTAGAGACATTTTAGGTTGTCGTGCCTGGGGGTTTGGGTGCTGCTAACATCTGGTTAGTAGAAACTAAGGATCCTGTTACACCTCCACTATGTGAAGAACAGTTCCTAAAAGAAAAGAATCACAAGTCCCGAAATATTAATAGTGCTGAGGTTGAGAAACCCTCATGTAAGTAAAACTGTGGTGTGTTTGGGGAAATGCAGTTGAGTTAGGATATTAGGGAGAACTTTGGGAAGATGAATCCAGAGCCAGTTAATGAAAAATGTAGTACCATGTTGAGGGATACACATTATTTTTCTTGAGTTGACCATGAGCCACTGGTAGACTTTAGGTCTGGTGAGTGTAAATCTGGAATATTCTTTGGAGAACAATTTTCTCCCTGAGGGATTTGATAGTGAAGTGAAAGGTGATCACTGGGTTCATGTAGACTTAAGATCAATGCAGGGATTGTGTCCTCTGGCCCTTCAGGTTTCCGTCTGTTGGAGCTAACAGCAGCCCATTTACACCTTGTTAAGCAGGAGAAACTGGAAGGAAAGAAGCAGCCCAGGGAACAAGGGAGCATTTTTTTTTTCCCCCATAAATGATCCTTCTCGGGAAGAAAGTGAGTCAGAAACAAGTTGAACCTGAAAGAAGTATAGGATAGTCCACTGGAGGTTGAGTTCTGGGATAGCATGAGCAATAAGCAATAGCATGGTGTACAAGTCTAACATACAAGGGCCACAGTTTTTCTCCACTCATCCATGTTCTACCTGACAACTAAAAGGTGAGCAAGACAAAATAAGACAGAAACTTTCTTGCTTTTTTAAGAAACTATGGGCCATGATTCAAATCATCATATTAGTATTGCATAATACTAAAAATGTTCTCCACTTATTTAAAAAAAGAGCTGGGTGGGAACATTATTGATGATATAATTTTTTAGCAATATAGACGGCTTATGAGTAAAGCAACCCAAACCAAACAAACCAGAACCCCAAGTCATTGTTGGAAGTGAGAAAAGAAAGAAATACTGTTAACTATGTAGTTAAATAATGAAGATATACTTGATCTAGACAAGGTCCATAGTAATATACATTAGAAAAATCAGCATTAAAAAGCATGTTAATTTCTGCTATGCACAGAGGTTTTGGGCATATACAGAAAGGATGACACAGTTTTAATATAAATAAATGAAAATGTCCTTCCTCCAAAACCTTCTTTTTGTTCTCTATTAGATTTTTTAAAAGTAAAGATATTAGTTGTTACCTTATAATTAAAGATGTCATCACAATAATCCTAGTATTTGTCAGTTACTTTTTAATGGCTTTACTTAAATACTTGCACCAATCTTCACAAAGACTCTGAAGCAGTCTTTGTGTTTCCCATCTTGCAGACATGGAAGCAGAATGTAAGATATTAGTTACTGTGTCCAAGCACACAGCTGTGGTTGTAGTAAAATTCTGTCTACTCTAGAGGCCCTGTCATACTGTCCATTTCCATCATTCCAAATGCTTAGATTTAAAAAAGCACCTCAATGGGAAAGGAAATTTCCTTTAGTTAAAGGCTTATTAGCTTTTCATTTATAACTGTTAATAAAGGGTCACATTGCAGACCAATATACCTATGTAATAAAAAATAGCTGTAGGATTTTCAAATACTTTTTTATAATTTAAATTTATGTTTACTTTAAATATAAATGTACTAAATAATCTAAACATATTTATTAAGACAACATAGCATTTTTATGTAGTGAAAATGCTTTGAAAATTTGTCAAGTTATAGTTTGAAAGATTGTATCTTTCTGAGATGTAGCATATAGTTGAGAAGGAACTCTTTTGTGATTATTATTTTTTGAAGTGTTGGGGATCAGATCCAGGGCCTCTTGCATGCGAGGCAAGCGCACTCTCACTGAACAACATGTCTGTCAGCCTGGGAAGGAGTACGAAAAGCCCTTGTGATTGTGGCAGCCCTAGTGAATTAAAAGTCAGAAATGATATGAGGCATCTTTTCCCCATAAAGAAATTCAGATGTCTCTAACATGGGAAAGAATGAAGCATGACTTTTACAATCTCACTTGCAGAAATATAAAATAAACAAGAGGCAGGTAGAAAAGCTGCATGATGCAATGCAGTCTCAATGTCCTGGCTCCAGTACATGGAACACTGTGAATTTTCTAAGGTCAAATAACAGACATGTTCCTTGGAGATAATGTGATCTATGTCGTGGAGTACTTTGGAGAAAAAGACCAGAAACACGTTCCCAGTTCCAGATGAGTCATTCAAATATGTTATTGACTTGGAACAGATTACTTTTTAAGAATGGAAAGCATCAGAAGGAATATAGGAGAATTGAGACTCCAGGGATTTAGTAAATTTTTATTTCTTGACTTCCTCAATAAAACTTTCTTAGTGAGGTTGTCTTTTCTCAATTTTGTACTAACTTAAGTTTTATATTTGCTTTTTCTATGATTTTCAGACTTTGGGCCTTTTTTTTCAGATCTCAGAAACCAGGTGGTATGCAGCAGGAACCATGATTTCTCTTGTGCTAATGGATATGCCAGATCTCCATGGGTGTCTCTATCACGTTGCCCATGGGGGGTTATAGCATAAGAGCTCAGGGGCCGGATCATCTGAGGAAGTTTGTGGAATTTAAAAGCAATCAAATTACTGATCCTTACAACTCATCTCTGAGCCTGAAGCAACTACTGATTAGTTCTCTCTAATAAAATCAGGGAGTGATGAACTATTACCCTATCGAAGTGCTTTAAAAATATAAAATGGAGGCATAGTTGGGAATGAGAGCAGAGCTGGTATCTTTGATATATTCTTAGTCCCTGTACCCAATAGGATCTCTGCAAATGCTAAAGGATGAGAAAAATATTATTTTGATAACAGGAAAAGTCTATAGTTGAAGCTGTCTAAAGACATTGATTTGGGGCTTTAGCTCTATGGTAGAGCACTTACCTAGCAGGTGAAAGGCCCTAGGTTCAATCCAACTAGAGTAATATAAAATGAAATACAGTTTTCAAGGCTGCTCTATCATTCATTCTTCTTGAATGAGTGATTACATTATAAGCTGGGGATTTTCAAAGTTGTTTACCTGTTCCTAAAAAAATAGTGATGGTAGTAATCAAGTAACCTCATCATGCTTGCCCTGGGTATGACTATGAGTGCCTGTTCTACTCATGTCCTGAACAAGGCAGTTAGAACTTTTTTTTTTTTTTTTAAAGAGGG